GCATTCTGCAAGAGTCATTCTAGCAAGTGGAGACTGTGTTGCAAGATGTCAAGAGGAGGTCTCTATCTGGAGGCGCAGGTCGTCAGCGATGTGTGAGATTGTGCTGTGGGTATGCTTGTGGTGTGTTGGCTTTTCTGTTTGTTTTCCATTTCAGCTCTGTCCGTGTGACCCAGGTTCTCGCAATGGCATCCAAGTCAACGTGCATTGGTCGTGAAGGAAAAAAAGGTTGGATCCCTTTTTTGCCGGGGAGTGTCAACGGAGTTGAAGATTGAACGATCAATTCTTGGTTGTTTGCTTAAAATCAACTTCCCCAATTTTCGCGGAGGCATCAATACGACAGTCATCGTCTCATCGGTCGCTGTTCAGAAAGAAGACTGAAACATCGTCAGAAGTAACAACGATTTATTATTGTAATATTTGTTTACAGACCTTAGTTTGCTTAGTTCGCCCATTCCTTTTATATGTTGGTGTAACAATAAACAAATATCAAACGGCAGATCGGTGTTTTGGTTTTTGCGTCTGTTATAACTAAGCGTTTCTGAGAAATCTTCTAAGAACAGCGTGGGCCCGAGCGTAGCGAGAGCTGGGCATTAACGGTTTATGAGACTTTGCTGACAGTGATAGTTATTTACGAATTCAGTAAAAAGTATTTCATGGACCGAGAGTAGCTTTTGGTATTCAGCATAGGTATGGAACTTAGTGAAATTATTTTAGAGAACTAATACGACGAGGTTGGCTTTTTTCTAATATATGCGCACCTATCAACGGAATGAAAATATCATGACGAATTGTTATCACAAGCATTGTATTTACTATGGAGGGAATGTTATTACAGGCAAACTTGACAGTAACATGTACAAGTCTTGCATGTCAGTGCATCAGTAATATAAGCATACTAATGGTGCTACGGTCCGAAGTGAATAATCTCAAGGCTTCGTCACAACGTCTTTGTGAGAGGTGGATGTATTGAAAGACTGCTTGCAGACACTATGTATGATGACATCTAGGAGAATGTCTACGAAAACTGACAACCTGCAAATAGAAAGACAAAAATTAAACGATTAGGAGACACATAATACATAAGATAAGTATTTTTGATTTGAGTAAAAATTTGGGCACTGTGGTAGAGTATAACTCCATTATAGATAAGATTTTATTTTCATAAATTACACAGTGCTGTACAGCAATGTTATCTGATGACGTCTCGAGCACAAATTATTGCTCATGATCATGTCAAGTCACTTACACAACTTTTCTCTTCATTCATACACATGAGTGTTTTGGATAAGCGTACTACAGGGATAAAAAATCACCCATATGATTCACTTCTATTCACACTATTTCTTATGTTCGCGTTATTGACTTTTGGTTTATGTTTTCTTCAGTACACTGTATCTGGACAGTTAAAAGAATTGGGGAATGCATAGAGTACACAAGAAATGACATTAATAATTTTTTAAGCCAATAAATGACTGACTGAGATTTGACATGGAACTCAGCACAAACGTGCAGCAGTTCGATTTGTTACATTCCACATTTGAAAAATATTATATTTAGTTGTTAATAAGCAAAACATATTTCATCAGGTGTATTTTTACTTCACATTTGGGCTACGGGATAAAATAAATTAACTCGTGAGATACAGCGAGAGAGGGAGTTATCTCGGGTAAGAGGGGAAATTATTGCATAATAATTCTTTCTTCTAGTTAGGCAGGAACCAAATGAAAAAGATACGATTATCATTTGTTGACATTTCGCTTATTTTTATCTACGTTTTAGAATTTCATTATGCCTGGACTACAGATTATTCTGGCAGACTGATATTCAACATAGAAACTTGCACACAAGTGTGCGCGTTTAGGTCATCATATTCCATGTAGCACACAAATGTAGGGAAAAAGAAATTAAATGGAACTCTAATGAGCATAAATGTGATTCAAAACGAACAATGATATGGAAAAGACTTAAGGGTTACACAGATATATGAGATTACGCAGAGTGAATGCATCTGTGCATTAACAGAGTTTAAGGTCACATTTCAAATGAGAGTAAGCTTAAACAAAAATGCCAATGCAGTTGAAGATTGAACGATCAATTCATGGTTGTTTGCTCAAAACCAACTTCCCCAATATTCGCGGAGGCATCATCAGCCAGTCATCGTTTCATCGGTCGCAATTTAAAAAGGAGTCAGGAGAAGACCGTCAGAAGTAATATTGTGATTTATTATTGTAATATTTGTTCATAGACCTTAGTTGTAAAGCTTAGTTGTACATTGGCTATATGCTGGTGTTAGAATAAAGAATTCTCGAGTCGCCAAACTGGGTTCTGGTTTATGTGTCCGTTCGTACTAAGCGTTTCTGAGAAGCTTCGAGGAACAGCGTGAGTCCCAGCGTAGCAAGACCTGGTCATTTTGTGTTTTTCAGACGTGAATTTCATCTTGCTCTGAACAGCGAACTATGAGAGGATGAGTGACGCAAAATATACGGAGGAGTTTTTTTGAGTAAAACATCATGAATTGATTGTTCAATCTTCAACTACATTGACATGTATGATCCCCTATAGTGATATGTCATTGCCACATTTCGTGATAATATTAGATTGTCACCAGTACTGGTGGGATTCACGCGTCCTTATGTACAGAGCCTTCTCGCTATTGTTCAGTCCCTGATTCTCAGTAACCTCTTGAGAGATCTTAGACATCCTGTGCATGTTGGATATATCCTGATTGGGCCCAGATGCAGTCCTGTTTTAGTCTCTTCCACTGGACTTTGCCTCACTATTTGTTGTGGGTGCAGCAAAAGTTTGATGGGAACCTCTATCCCGTAGTTACTGTAAGCTATCATTTGCGAAAATCGAAAGTCAGAGTCAGTTTTTGCCTAAACAACGTACGCAGTTTTTCAGACGTTGACTGACGGGTCAGCTGCCACACTGCCATAGAAACGGAATGAAGTGATTGAATACACATGTCCCTGTATCCAGTATCTTCTGGCATTGTGTGTCGATCAAAGTAGTGCTCGAAATGAGCGAACCATGTATCGGGATCATGTCCGTGAAAATCAGGTACCATAACTCGTGCTTATTAAGGAAACGAAAAATTCGAACTGCGGTTAACCACAACGAAATAAACGTCGCAATATTTGCTAATGGTTCGCAACAATTTAGCGAATAACTCTCGTGTCAAAATAACTGCAATAACTATCGATGGACCGGAAGTGTAAATTAAGAAGACAGGCGATCTTGTTGAACTTGTAGCGGTAAATAATTCCCCAAAATTATTGACCACAGCAATCACGCATTGGATGCTGACCACCACTGTTTAAGTCGACTTGTTTAGCTGAAGGCTTCCGGTCAAGCATCCCCGCCATTTGGTACCTCGTCGTGTCACGTGCACGATCACTAGCTAGCTAAGCGTTCGTCTAACGGCTGGTTTTGGTTCGTAAATACATTTCTTCGTTTGGACGACCAATTGTTGGCTTTTGCTTTGTCTTTGGTACGCGAGAATAAATTAATTAGAAGTTGTTGAACGAGATATCACGTCAAACCTTTAATATCCGTCAACCACTAAACTGGTGAGCCTAACCGCGAACTTCATCTACGACAATTACTCAGATAATCCCGGTGAGTTCGTTCCATTTTGTATTTGTTCTTGTACCATATATTATTCGATATAATTTTCGTCATGAGTGATCTTAGTCCCAAGGTCATCCGTATCCGCTCAACTCCTAAAACCATTCAGCTCGTACCATACTGGCCAGATAATGCTGAAACGTGGTTTCTGCTAGCTGAAGCAGATTTTTGTGAGCATGGGATAACTGATCAACGTTCACAGTTACTTGCAGTTATTCACGCCCTACCGCGGGAATTCAGCAAGTACGTAACATCACAGATGTTGAGTCCCGAGGTAAGTAACTCGTACGAGTTGCTGAAAGCATCCCTCCTCAGGAGAAACGCTCTCACGGACAGACAACGTCTAGATGAATTATTTCGCAACATCGAGTTAGGAGATCAGTCAGCCGTGAGCATGCTGACAAGAATGAAACAAGTCGTCGGCCAATGTCAGTTCGACGAAGGACTGTTTAGAGAACTCTTCTTAACCAAGTTGCCACAATCTGTACAGACCGTACTTGTGACACTTGAGGGTACTGTAATAGAGAACTTAGCTATTACTGCAGATAAGATTCTAGAGATAACTAAACGGTCTGTCCCCGAAATATGCTCAATGACTAAGCAGACTTCGAGTGAGGATCCTGCAATGACAGAGTTATGCAACTCCCTTCAGCAGATGTTTAGGTCAAACACGCATTCTAAATCCTCCAACCGTCGTCCTAAATCTCCTCAACGCAGGAACTCGCGTGGTCGATCTAAGTCCAAACCACGTTCACTGAAAAACCCTGACTGGTGCTGGTACCACAACACCTATGGCCAAGAAGCGAAGTGTTGCCGTAAGCCTTGTAACTTCGGAAATGTCTCAAAGTCTGCGGGAAACTATCCCGCCGGCACGCGTTAGCGGCAACCGTCGCCGGTGGCACTAGCCGCCTACTTTACATCCATGATGTGATAAGCCAGACTCGATACTTAGTCGACACAGGCGCCGAAGTCAGCGTCCTTCCTGCTACAGCAGCAGATCGACAGAAGGAACCTACCTTCAACTTACAGGCTGCAAATGGAAAACCAATCGCAACCTTTGGTAGGAAATACGTCTATCTGAACGTAGGTTTACGCAAACCTATTCGGTGGATTTTCCTTCTCGCTGACGTTACAATGCCCATCATTGGCACGGACCTACTTAATCATCATGATTTACTCGTAGACGTCCGCCGAAAACGACTGATTGACAATACTACTAGTCTGTCTATCAAAGGCATCACCTACATAGGCCCTAGCTTGTCACCCGTTAAGATAAAGGCAATTCTTGATCCAACTTTTCAACCTATCGTTGACAAGTATCCGGAACTTAACTGCCCGTCGAACGACCTACCGTGCATAACCAGCAATGTTATGCACCACATCATTACCACAGGACAACCTGTGACATCTAAAGCACGACGATTAGCTCCTGACAAACTGAGAATCGCCAGGAATGAATTTGACCATATGCTTAGCCTTGGCATCATTCGACCTTCGAATAGCCCATGGGCATCCCCACTTCATATGGTTCCGAAAAAGGATAGCAACGATTGGCGACCCACCGGTGATTACCGGCGAGTGAATGCCAAAACAACCCCTGATTGCTACCCGTTGCCTCATATACACGACTTGACGGCAACCTTATCCGGCGCGACTATATTCTCCAAAATCGACTTGGTTAAAGCGTATAACCAAATCCCGATGGCAACAGAAGATATCCCGAAAACGGCTATCATTACGCCTTTCGGACTTTTTGAATTTCTACGTATGCCATTCGGTCTCCGGAATGCAGCCCAAACATTCCAACGCTTCATTGACGAAGTATTTCGCGGTCTCGACTTTGTATACGCATACTTAGACGACTGCCTCATTGCCAGTCCAGACAAGGAAACTCACCTTAGGCACTTGGACTTGGCATTTGACAGGTTACGCCAACATGGTGTTACCATTAATATTCAAAAATGTCAAATCGGTGTTGACTCACTCGACTTTCTGGGTCACACTATTGACTGCAAGGGCATTCGCCCACTGGCTACTAAGGTCGAGGCTATACTGAACTTTCCAGAGCCACAGACGGTGAAAAGTCTCCGCACTTTTAACGGCTTAGTAAGTTATTATCGACGCTTTATTCCCAACTGTGCCTCTTTGATTCAGCCATTGACAGACCTCCTTCGAGGGAATAACAAGTCCATAGAACTTGACGCGTCTGCTCGAAATGCTTTTACCCAGATTAAAAAAGCTATTGCGAATGCCACACTTCTGATGTATCAGGATCCAACGGCACCGTTAAGTATCTCGGTTGATGCATCAAACACTGCAATCGGCGCAGTTCTACAACAGCTAGTTGACAATGAGTGGCAACCACTTGCCTTTTTCTCCCGGCGCCTTCAATTAGCTGAAACGAAGTACAGCACATTCGGCAGAGAACTTCTGGCTATGTACTGTGCTATACGACATTTTAGACATTCGGTAGAGGGTCGTGAATTTATAATTTTTACGGATCACAAACCTCTGACGTACTCTCTGAACTCACCTTCAGATAAGTATTCACCCAGGGAATCACGACAACTGGATTACGTCTCACAGTTTACATCAGATATTCGCCATGTATCCGGAGTAAACAACACTGTGGCAGATGCCTTGTCGCGCGTTTGTTCTTTCACCCAAATCGACGGCATAGACCTAGTAAAACTGGCTCGTCTTCAAAAAGAAGATGCCGAACTTCAACATGAGTTGTCGAAAACAACTCTACAATTAGCTGAGAAACCCTTAGGTATGGGAAGAGATACTATTCTGTGCGACATTTCCACGAGTACTCCTCGCCCCATCGTGCCTAAAAGTTATCGCCGTAACGTCTTCAATACGTTGCATGGCTTATCTCACCCAGGTATTCGCACTACTGTCAAGCTCGTAACTAGTCGGTTTTGTTGGCCTGGCATTAATAAAGAAGTAAGGGAATGGGCACAAACGTGCTTAGCTTGTCAAAAGTGCAAGGTGATAAGACACACCAAAAGCCCACTTGGCACCTTTCTTCTCCCTGACGCTCGTTTCGAACACGTCCATATAGATTTGGTTGGTCCCCTTCCTGAATCACATGGATATGCCTATATTTTAACTTGCATCGATCGATTTACACGATGGCCGGAAGCAGTACCCATCAAGGACGTATCTGCTGAAACAGTCGCACGCGTCTTCGTAGAAAGATGGATTGCTAACTTTGGATGCCCATCTTCCATAACAACTGATCGCGGGCGGCAATTCGAAAGTGGCTTATTCTTTGCCCTGACTAAAATATTAGGTTGCATGCGATTTCGAACAACAGCCTACCATCCTCAAGCTAATGGTATGGTAGAACGTCTACACAGACAGCTGAAAGCTGGTCTGTCAGCTGCAAACACCACCCATTGGACTGAATCCCTCCGTTAGTTCTCCTAGGGATACGAAACGCCTTGAAAACCGATGCTGGTTGTACTAGCGCCGAGCTAGTATATGGCACGACACTGCGACTGCCTGGTGAATTTGTTTCTCCCTCGAGCTTCCCACCAGTGGTAGATCACGCTTCATACGTCAGCAGGCTTACAAACGCAATGCGTTCAGTTAAACCTGCTCCCCTTCGTCCACAGTCCATTGATGTTTTCGTTCATCCGTGTTTGAAAACTTCTTCACATGTATTTGTTCGTCGCGACTCTGTGCGCAGACCCCTGGAACCCCCATATGACGGACCTTATAAGGTTATTAAACGTTCTGATAAATTCTTTGTCTTGGACAAAAACGGCCGCGAGGACACCGTCAGCATTGACCGTCTGAAACCGGCTTACTTGGAGGGTAATCCTATTAGCATAGAGCTGAACGTACCCCAAAATCCACAAGTAACAGAAGATCGTGTAGACATCGATGAAGTCGCTAGCACAGCGACAGCTACCGAACCTTCTATCGAGCCTCTCAAGAAAACCCGTTCTGGACGCACCGTAAGGTTCCCAGAATATCTGCACACTTATTTGACTTAACGAAGTCGTGTGATTCACGCAACTCACTCGTTCGTGGTACTATTTTTTTTTGACGTATAAATTTTTTTATATACAGTACCACCAAACACAAAAAATTTTTTTTTCAACAGTTCATGTAACATACACAAAAAAATTAATTATATGTATTTTTTTTCGATGTTCTGAACTTAGCATTATTTTACTGTATAGTAAATGCACATAATTTTTTTTAACCAAAAAGGTCATTTCGTACATTTTCCTCGACATGGTTCTTAGCGTTCTTGTTTTCTTTTCCAGGTGCGACGGGCACTGGACGGGAAACAAACGAAGCACGGAATCCAACGAACAACACCAGGAAGCTATGTACAAACACCCTATTAGCATAGGCAGACAAACCAGTAGGCATACGACCAAGCCGCTCGGAAGATTTTTTTCACCCGAAAGGGAACCATCGAGTTTTTTTTACTTCCGGCTGGTTCTGTCTTAGGGTCCTCACGACCCCACTAGGGGGGAGTGAGCTGTAGCGGTAAATAATTCCCCAAAATTATTGACCACAGCAATCACGCATTGGATGCTGACCACCACTGTTTAAGTCGACTTGTTTAGCTGAAGGCTTCCGGTCAAGCATCCCCGCCATTTGGTACCTCGTCGTGTCACGTGCACGATCACTAGCTAGCTAAGCGTTCGTCTAACGGCTGGTTTTGGTTCGTAAATACATTTCTTCGTTTGGACGACCAATTGTTGGCTTTTGCTTTGTCTTTGGTACGCGAGAATAAATTAATTAGAAGTTGTTGAACGAGATATCACGTCAAACCTTTAATATCCGTCAACCACTAAAAACTTTTTTAATAATCAGGTTGCTGGGTAAGTGAAGCGGAGATGCTTAATCTAACAAACAAAAAGGAAATCATTATTCATTGTCGTTCGGTAGAGGGAGTAAACCCTACGAATAATGAGGAAGGTACACCACATCCTTTGTATTGTGGAGACTTCACTTGGAGATTGCCCGAGGCGTAACTTCTCTAGGAGCGGTGCTTCAGTTAATCCTACTTCAGGGTCTAGATCAAGGGCTTTACATTAAGTGCATTTGGTTTCGCCTAGCAACTGTAGAGTCGAGGTTGGTCAGGACTCTGATGCTACTGAATAAACCTTTGCCGTGAGCGTTCACTCGAGGTTATTCTCTGTAACATAAAAATAGCTAATGTGTGGAACAAGTCATAGTGATAGTTTAACGTCTTGAGAACTACATCAATTCTGTCGTTTGCAAAGCTGTTTTAATGCTGCTTTTGCCGTTAAATCTCAGACACCTGACTCGTACGAGCTGCTCGATATTTTATGCTTCCCGTGTTACATACTGAAATCATATAGGAATAAGACGTGCTTTTCCTCTCTAACCGGAAATATCCAGTTTTGTGAATTATTCGTTTGGGAAACCTGATCTTCCTACCCGGCGAATTTTATTCAACCATTTCTTCCTCACCGAGCCTGTGTGTGGTACTTCCCGCTGTCTCGAACTACTGCCAAAGCTTCAGGTGCTACTTCTGTAGCAACATCCTCCTCACTCTTTCAAATATACAGGACTTGTGGGTCTGTTACGTGATTGCTGTGAAGCCGAATAACCCGAAAGTTGCAGGTAAAGTCAAAAGCTTTTACTTACATACTTTATCCTTCTTTTCTGTGCTCTCTATTGTCTTTTGCTGTAAGTCTATTGGACAAAATAACAGTCTCTTATTATTTAATCACCAGTATTAATTTAGGAGTAATATGACGATAGATTCTCACCCTAAAATAAGTAATGGGACATCATACTCTGTAGTCACCAGGGCTTCAGCCAAACTGGGCAAACAGGTGAAGCTGATGGACTCAAGCATACCGGTCTTGAAGACCAGGGCTGATATTCCCAGCTCGTACAAATTACCCATGTCGCCACAGTCCTACAGTGAAGCTGTGCAAAGTCAGCCAAGTGGATGTGGCTCCACCCCTGTTAACATGACTAGGTTAACAGATCCGAGTGGGAAAATTGCACTAAGTGAGAACTGCATAACACCCATCCCCATGGTAGACCATGAAACAAATAGGAAGGCCAAAAAGAAACGTTCACGACGTCGCAAGACGACAAGAACGCTCCCCAAGAAGGCAGACGACTGCAAGGTCTGTGCTTCTGTTGTCGAACAAGCAGACTCTGCTTTCGAATGTAACTTTTGCAAGCGATGGGTGCATTGCAGATGCGACAATGGGGTACCAAAAGCATATTATGACTTTATGCGTAGAAACCCATGCCAATGGTTCTGGTACATATGCCCGAGTTGCCGTCCTGATGTAGCCTCGCGTAGTCCTTTGAAAACTAAAGATGGTGCAGAAGTAGCGGGGAAAAATATGAAATGTTCGACCAGCACCAATCCGGAAATTAGTACAAATGCGTGTAAACCGGGGATACCAAAATCCTCACCGGTTAAACCTGTAACTCTTGACATAACCGCTCCAGACACAGAGGCTGGAGAACCACGGGTCTCCGTCGTTGGAAAAAGACCCCTCTCGTCTGCCAGTAATATTGGCCATAGCACTGAGACACAAAAAAATACCCAGTCGCACCAGACGAACCAAAACGGTCTTAAAGGAAATCACAAATGTGCGAGGACCGAGCCCAAGCCCACGGTTAGTAGATCAAATTGTGTAATCCTCTTTAATGTACCAGACTGTAGCAGTAGTCTGCTGAAAGATAGGGCCCTATTTGATCAGGAACAGTGGTCCATCTTGTGTAGCACACTGGGTTTGGACATCCAACCGGTAAATCTATGCAGATTGTACAAGGGCACTGCTGCACCTGAAGGCAAACCATCCCCACTGAGGGTAACATTGGGCTCTACCGAGGATGTTGAAAAAGTGTTACTGGCTTCTCAAGTCCTTTCTATAGGGAGGGCCTGTAACATACGCGTTAAGCCAGACAGGCCGTGGAAGGAAAGACAAATGGCGAGGGAGTCGCCAGAGCTCATTCCTTCTGCCTCCATGGTTGTGCATGGCATTCCCGAACTGGTAACTGGGAACGCCTGCGAAAAGCATTGTCATGATGTACAACAATGGAGATGGTTGGCATCCCAGATGGCCCTGGGGAGTTCAGGGGCTGTCTCTATTTATAGACTGCCTCGACCCACTCATCTTATGTCAATTAACTCGCCACGTCTGTTAGCTGTCAAGTTCAGCTCCCAAGACCAGTTGACTACCGCTCTCCAAAGATGGTACGAGACCAAGGACAAGGTCAGCAAACACATTCGCTGCTGCGAGAGCCGGCCTCGCACTCAAAGGAGAGAACAAAGCGTAGTAAAAAAAATCCTCAACCCCTAGTCACACTACAGCGGTGCAGCACGGACGATGATAGCCAGTGTCATCCGAGTGCTCCGACTGAACTAGAAGAAAAAAACGCCAACAGGCCGGTTCCTGGGGAATCGGCCAACTAGTTCGTAGGATAACTCCTCAACCGATAGCCAATATCAAGTCAACTACCCCCCAATACGGGGAAGTGGTGAGACTGACTACCAGTTGCCTGTACAGTAATGTGAGAGGGCTAAGAGGCAAAATAGCTGAACTTAGACACCTACAATCACAACTGAACTCCAAAATCATAATACTGACGGAAACCTGGCTAACCCCTACGGTGGCAGACAGCGAAGTCAGTATAAATGATATGGTCCTAGTCAGGCGAGATAGGGACCTGAAAGAAGGAGGTGGAGTCGCCATATACGTCGACAAACAGCTCAGATGTGTTCACGCGATGGACCCTCCCCTCACAGAGCTCCCTGACTCCATATGGTGCCACTTCACCGTTGGGTACTGCAAATATCTAGTGGGCAGCATTTATCGATCACCTTCATGTGGAGCAGACCACAACCAGGTACTGCTAAATACAATCTCAGCAACTCAAGACATGGGTTATGATCAAATTGTCATAGCTGGTGACTTCAATGCCCCATCTCTTAACTTGGTGTCGGGAAAAGCCCATGATAGATTTGATCGAAATCTGCTGCATACCATCAGGAAGGCTGGATTCACTGAAAATGTCAAGATGGATACTAGATGGGGCCCTGATGGGAAGTCTTCTAGACTGGATTACGTGCTCACTAGTGACCAGCTACTAGTGGAAAACGTTCAGATCACGACTCCCATAGGTAGTAGTGACCACGCGGTCATAGTATTCGACATAGTCCTCCGCGAGCGCTTACAGTGGGACAATACACAGCCCTATCTGTGTTATAACAAAGCCAACTACACCAAAATGCGAAGACTTCTGTCTGAAGCAAATTGGCCTAAAAAATGGACAGAGCTAACAGTAGAAGAACACTGGAGAGTGGTAAAGGAGATCATTCACCAGGCGGTCTCAGACACTGTTCCTTTAGTCTCACCAAAAGCTAGGAAGCAACGATCATGGCTGAAAAGGGGACACAACGCCTTCTGCAGGCAAAGCGAAAAGCCTGGTTCGCGTGGCGACGATCGAAGAGTCAACCCGAATATGAAGTGTACCTTGAACTCAGGAATCGATGTAACATACGAGTCCGGAGCGATAGAAGGACATTTCAGGGAAACCTCGCCAATAAGCTTCTCGTGAACCCCAAAAGCCTATACAGGTTTATGTCCGAAAGAAAACCGACCAACCAGGGAGCATGCAATCTAGTGGGTTCTGATGGGAAATCTCTTACTAGTCTTGAAATGGCAGAGACATTCAGCCTAGCCTTTCACAGGCAACTAAATAGTAACGAGGATATTACCCCACAGAACATCCAGATTACATCGCAAAACCAACACGCGAAAACCTGCTGGGTACATTTCAAATTACCCCGGCTATGGTACTTGCAAAATTGGGAAGGTTGGCTTCGGGAAAGTCTTCAGGTTGTGATGACATCAGACCATCTGTCCTGAAGCAGTGTTCAGAAAGTCTCTGCCAACCCCTAAGTGATCTGTTCCAACACTCCCTTGATGTAGGGAAACTTCCATGTGAATGGAAACGAGCAATCCTATCCCCTATCTTCAAGGGTGGTGACCGGCAGAATGCGACCAGTTACAGACCAGTTGCTCTACTTCCAGTGATATCGAAGATATTGGAAAGTCTCATTGACGACCACATGAGAAAATACTTCGATGGGACTAACCTTCTTCACGAAGCACAGCACGGTTTCAGGAGGGGAAGATCCTGCGTGACGAATCTTCTACTAGCTTGGAACGATTGGACACTATCCTGGGACAAAAAGGTACCAGCCCACGTGATCTTTCTCGACTTTGCGAAAGCATTCGACACAGTTCACCATGGTCTGCTCCTTCACAAAATAAGCAAGGCGGGAGTTTCTGGAGCACTTCTCGCATGGCTGAAAGATTACTTAGGCGAGAGAGAATTCTGCACCAAAGTCAACCGCATCCGATCATCCTGGCACACCTCGGCATCAGGGGTTCCTCAGGGTTCTATCCTAGGGCCGTTGATGTTTTTGATTTTTATCAACGACCTGCCCTCCCAACTAAACTGCTCTGCGCTTCTTTACGCTGACGACGTAAAGATTTGGAGAGCAATAAACTCATCGGAAGACTCAGATAGATTGCAGGCTGACCTGCAAACTCTGGGAAACTGGGCTCTGGCTAACGGAATGCCTTTCAACCTAAAGAAGTGCAAAGTAGTGCAACTTCATTCCGGCAGGTCACAGAGTGTAAATTACACCCTTGGTGGCCAGAACTTGAGTTGTGTTCCATCAGAGCGTGATCTAGGTCTTATTCTAACAGAAAAGCTAGACACCAGTGGAAATTACTCGAGGGACGTCGCCAAAGCCTACGCAACTTTCCACTTTATGCATAGGCAGCTGGGAGCTCTCACTCCCGAACTGTTCTTAAGGTTATATAAGGCATATGTGAGGCCACACCTTGAGGTGCATAATATCATTGCACCTCCGCTACTCAAAAGGGATGCTAACATTCTAGAAAGTGTCCAGAGACGAGCGACAAAATGGGTGATCGGCCTCCGCAACAAATCATATGAGGAAAGACTAAAGAAATTAGGTCTTTTCACACTTAGTTACCGTAGGCACAGGGGAGACCTCATCACCGTCTACCAGATCCTAAATGACCAGGCCCACCCAAATAAAAGCATCCTGCCATTAAGTGATTATAGGCTTCCACGAGGTAACCCGCTAAGGATAGCACACCAGAGACCAAAGACTCGAGTGCGATCACATTTCTTTTCGCTTCGTGTTTGCCGTCTCTGGAACGCTTTACCGGCGGCCGTGACTACAGCGCCATCTCTGGAGATTTTTAAGCGGAAGCTAGACAATCATGCAGAAATGCAAGGTTTGTGTCTCAATGGCTTATCCTCATAAAACTTGAAACCACACTGTCAATGGATAAGCGTACAAACTAAATCCCCACGACCTATTCTGCCTTCTCTCACTCTATCTTTTCCTTAGGTCACCTTTATTATTCCACTTATCTCAACCTATATTATCTACACTACAACCCATTATTTTTATTTTATTATTACTACTATTCTGCTTTTATGACTACACCGAATGACCAACGGGAGTTAGGTCAAACTCCATTCACGGCAGCAATACAGTCCTAACATACTGCATACTACAAACCACATCTCGACCAATCCCCGCACCACTCCTCCTGGAGTCTACCAGAGCTAAAGCAGTCGAGTGTCGGGACTTACTACGCAGAAGCTCACCGAAGATCTGGAACCTCTACCTCACAATCAAGAAGCGAGCTCAAAGAAACCACTGGTTTATACTAGCTCGTAATCAGGATATTGGATATTGGATATCCATAGACTGATATTTCTGTCGACCCGTGAAACTAGTGGTGATTATGAAAAATCTTATAACGTATTGGATACAAAATTTCTCTACTCCCTTAGAGAGCTATATTTTGAAGGTCTGAGCAAATTGGGATTCTTGAGACAGTTTTTTTCAGTCATCCTTAGCCACGGTTGGCGAGTGCAGGGAATGAGTGTGTGGAAACTGAAAACCAGAGACTTTCTAGTCACCAAGATGAATGAGAAGAAGATCTGTACTAACACATAAGACCTTTGTTGAACATTGGAACCATTGTCATGAAGTTTTCATAGTTGTCATCACTCTTCGCAGCTGCCCCGAAAGTCCATAATTTTTTGACATAACTGGCAGTGCCTTGACATTCTAACCTAAGTGATAAACACATATATCCTTCAAAATGTTGCCATAATTCCACCGTCATCCTAGTATTATTAGTCCAAGGGTGACGTAGTTAGTAGAGGAGTAGGAGGTCAGTTGGATAGCTGGTTAAGGAAAATATTCAGAATCTTACATCGAACCTCAGTCTTTCAAACAAAATATCTTAAGAGAACTTTATCAACAATGTAAAGATTTGAACTTCAAGTGATTTCTAATTCTTCTATAGACATCATGATTTCATTATGTGAAGAAAGTACATTGTAACATAAAAATTCGCACTGTTAGTCTTAATTAATGTAAAGAGGTATTTTTTTGTTGCTAATGCAGTTTTGATATGGAAATTGAATACTGTTCACTAAAGTGTGTTTGTCTGTTATGTAGTCTGGCGGCACTTGAACTGCTCGCAAGCACAGTAATCAGTGGTTTGTTGGCGTCATCAAAATGGTGAGTGGTGTTGTGAGGTTTCCCAGGATGTTGGCCATATTGTGTAAGCAATGCATGCTATATATCGTCTACCTGTATGCATATGAGAGATCTGGCATTGTCAGCATACACGGATCATTGATCTTGATGATGCATCCATAGATAGTAGACACTACTTTGCGATTTAGTTGAGTGAGGTATTTCGAAGACAGTTGAAGACGACGCTTAAGCCCTCTCATTTTAGTAGTTGTCCCCTGTAGCATATTTATTTACTGGTATGGGTTAGGCAGGATTTTTTACAGGAAGTATCTGGATGTACACATCTCAATCTAAGTGTCCGCTGTGCTAAGTTCTGTGTTAACGGGTCCGTGTCAACGTCAGATGGACTTAGTGGAGTGAATCTTGGTAGTATGGCTTACTCACATGCGTGATCAACTCCACCACTATAGGCTGTGGGTTTTATATCGTTGAATTGTATTGGCTGGTCATACCTACAGGTTTAATAGTGTTGTAAAGGGAGCGGAAGTCTGCCGAGACACGGGCTTATTTACTAGACTCATGTATTAGTGGTCGTGACTGACTCAGTTCTGAAACCATATGCGAGAGTATTCTGTTAAACAAGGAAGCTAGGATTTAGACACCTGAAGATGCGTGAGGTGTGAGTGAACATGTTATCACAGTAATTTGAGTACATATTCAAACTTTTATCATAGTATTTCAACTATTTGTAATTGGTGTCGGATTTTGTAATACGTGCGTTAGCACCATGTTCAGTATTATTTATCGTGCTGTTAATGGTGTAATATATTGTCGGCCTTAATAACGTTCTTTTTTCTTTTCATCAGGTCAAATTTACAGTGGATGAGTTGCGTCGCATGATGGATTACAAGCGGAATATCCGCAACATGTCTGTCATTGCTCATGTAGATCACGGAAAGTCAACTTTAACTGATTCACTTGTGTGCAAAGCTGGCATTATTGCAGATTCACGTGCTGGTGACGCCCGTTTCACCGACACACGTAAAGATGAGCAAGAGCGTTGCATTACAATCAAGTCAACGGCTATCAGCTTATACTACGAAATGTCAGATGAGGATACTAAATGCGTTAAAGCCATCCAGCCAATCGCCACCAATTCTGAAGGGAAAGAAGAAAAGGGTTTTCTTATAAATCTTATAGACTCCCCAGGTCACGTTGACTTCTCGTCAGAGGTGACTGCAGCTTTGCGTGTGACAGATGGTGCCTTGGTTGTAGTTGATTGCGTATCTGGTAAGTTTGAATTATTCGATGTAACACTTTTAGGTGTATGTGTACAAACAGAAACAGTCTTGCGTCAGGCTTTAACTGAACGTATCAAGCCTGTGTTGTTCATGAATAAGATGGATATGGCAGTCATGACTTTGAGTTGTGACATGGAGGATTTGTATCAAAAGTTCCAAAGAGTTATTGAAAACGTCAACGTCATCATTTCAGAGTTTGAGACAGCCAATTCCGCAATGGGAGATCTAGCAGTAGATGCTGTGAAAGGGACTGTTGGTTTCGGTTCCGGTTTGCAGAGTTGGGCCTTTACTTTGATGACATTTGCTAGATTATATGCCAGTAAATTTAAAATTGAACCAAACAAGTTGGTTGAGCGACTCTGGGGAGATAATTTCTATAATACTAAAACCAAAAAGTGGACAAAAGAAAAGCCTGCTACTGATGGTGTTCGAGGGTTCAATCAATTTGTACTGTCACCTATTTACAAGATTTTTGAAACTATTATGAAGAAAACCAAAGAGGAACAAACTGACCTACTCAATAAAATGGGCATATCACTGAGTGAAGCAGAGAGCTCTCTTCCCGACAAGCAGCGTTTGAAAGCAGCATTGCACAAATGGCTTCCAGCTGGTGACTCTCTGTTGCAAATGATATGTATCCATCTCCCTAGTCCAGTGGCCTCACAGCAGTACAGAATAGAAATGCTCTATGAGGGACCAATGGAAGATGAAGCCGCTATTGCAATGAAAAACTGTGATCCAAACGGCCCTGTTATGATGTATATCAGTAAAATGGTACCCACTTCTGACAAAGGTCGCTTTTATGCGTTCGGTCGTGTATTCTCTGGCACAATTGCTACTGGTCAGAAAGTCAGAATAACTGGTCCGAACTACGTTCCGGGTAAAAAGGATGATCTTTACGAAAAGTCAATCCAACGCACTGTGTTGATGATGGGTCGTTACACTGAGGCGATTGAAGATGTTCCCTGTGGGAATATATGTGGTTTGGTAGGTGTGGATCAGTTTATTGTCAAGACTGGAACAATCACCACCTTCGCTGGAGCTCACAACTTAAGACAAATGAAATTTAGCGTTAGTCCAGTCGTCCGTGTTGCCGTTGAGTGCCAAAATCCAGCTGATCTGCCGAAACTTGTTGAAGGTCTGAAGCGTCTTGCCAAAAGTGATCCTATGGTTCAGGTAAGTGGTCATAGCGTGTTTTCCCTTAATTCTCTTATTTTAGATAACCACGGAAGAATCGGGTGAACATATTATAGCCGGTGCCGGTGAACTACATCTCGAGATATGCTTGAAAGATCTTGAAGAAGACCATGCCTGTGTTCCTTTAAAGAAAACAGATCCAGTTGTTTCATATCGTGAGACTGTTACAGATGAGTCAAATCAAGTTTGCCTATCCAAATCCCCAAACAAACACAACCGACTCTATATGCGTGCTTCTCCTTTATCAGAAGAAGTAGCTGTAGATATTGATGCAGGCAAAATAAATGCTCGTCAAGATATGAAAGACCGTGGTCGCTACCTAGCCGACAATCATGGTTGGGATATTCAGGAAGCCAGAAAGATATGGTGCTTCGGTCCAGAAAACACAGGTCCAAATGTTGTGGTCGATACTACAAAAGCAGTTCAGTATCTTAACGAAATAAAAGACAGCGTTGTCAGTGCTTTCCAGTGGGCAACCAAAGAAGGCGTTCTTTGTTCAGAAAACATGCGTGGAGTTCGTGTAAACCTGGAAGACGCGACACTGCACACAGACGCAATTCATCGTGGTGGTGGCCAAATCATTGGTACAGCACGTCGATGCTTTTATGCCTCTGTCCTAACAGCTAAGCCTGGGATTCTTGAGCCGGTTTATCTGGTTGAAATACAAGGTCCCTGTGTTGCAATGGGCGGAATTTACAGTACTTTGAACAGAAAGCGTGCCATCACAATTTCAGAAGAACGAAAATCCGACAGCCCGATGTGTATTATTAAGGCATACTTGCCTGTAAACGAGTCATTCGGTAAGTGTCTTTATACACTTTTTTGATGTGGTTGTGTTCTCTAAGCTGGATGGTTTTGCGAAGCTGTCATCACCCTACTCGGTGACATCTTCAGCGAATACTTCGATTTGAAGTGAGCTTTTAGATTTCTCCCCGAGTTCACTAATCATTTCCAGACATCTTTACACACGTTATATACATTATATATACATCTTTATACATTAAATTGCTTTCCAGGTTTCACCACAGATTTACGCGCGGCAACTGGCGGTCAGGCTTTCCCTCAGTGTGTCTTCGATCATTGGCAGACATATCCTGGTGACCCACTGGACCCGACGTCAAAACCAGGACAAGTGGTTTTAGAAACAAGGAAACGTAAAGGTCTTAACGGTGGTGTTCCTGCTCTGGATAACTACCTAGACAAATTGTGATGCCTTATCTGTGTAATCTGATAAATTATAAATAAATTGACTGCTCTCTTGGGTTGTAAACCTTCTACAAGTAGTGCTTCGGTGTAAATTTATATTGTTTTCCGAATCATTAGTGTTTCACAATACATTTTACTTCGTAGGGACAAACACGCTTTACTGTGGTAACGCTTCAAGTGGCGTTAGGAGTAAACTATTGCTTGACATCGAATTGTCGTCTGCAATCAGCTTGTTGTTACAATTGTTTCGAAGAAAGTTGGTTTCGAATGAGAAATTGTCGACTGTACTGCAGAAGACTATTACATCACTTGGTACTAATATTTTAAAGCATAAATGTGTTAGTGTTTTTAACTGAATATTGTTCAGCTGTTGTCAATATCACTTAGGTATGGTTTTCCTTGCAATGTAGGGCTTTTATTCGCGACTTGATTGTTTCTACTATGGATTTGTTTTTCACATTTCTCATCGACTTTAATTGTATCTTAGTGCTTAGTAGTGGTATTTTTCCGACCATCCCATTTCCGAAGCTCTGAACATTCAGTTATCCTGATGCCGCCTTGGTCAGGAGTAGTTTTGAATAAGAATGAAAGTTACATGTCTATCACTAGCTCCAGACTACCCACTTTCAGTTCATGAAGTTTGACAGAATATTTCAATTTTTTGGCCAATAATGAACAAGCAACCCTGTTAGTTAGTCTGAGTTACAGCGGAATTAATTGATTCATTGTTCAAAATTACTAGCACTTTTCGATCTAGATTTCCGAATCTTAACAAGCGCGTTTGCCCTTCAGGGATGTAATGATATTATGTTGTAAGGCATTAATGGATCAATAATCAGTCGTCTCTTGATTAGTAATTTTCGAAGTCTGATCTAATGTGCAGTATTGTATTGAGTGAGCATAACTAACAGAACTTTTCACCTGTATCACGGGAGTGAGAACTGTACTCAAGCCATTTTGTGAGCTAGTAGTTCGCATTCACCTGGCACACTGGCCATGTCCGCACACGCTATCCAGGATTTTGTTTTTTATAGTCTTCAGGGGCAATGAGTCTGGTATATTGTAAACTATAGCCTGATGTGAAGAGGCTATACGCCTGGTCACTTGTGCAGCCACACTGTCAATTGGATTTTCTATTTTATTTATTTTATTTTTTTTAAGAGGCAGGCTGTTGGGTCTAAATCTGCAAGCTTGTTTTGAGTTATATCCAGTTAAGACAACCTGGTCAATGTAAGAACGGTTTTCCGTGATATATGAGATTTACAGTGTCATGCTACCAAACTGACCTAATTTTACGTGAATTTCACTTACTTGCCTCTGGATATCTTCACAAGGTAATTTAATTTACAGAACAACTTTTCACCTGTATCACAGGAGTGAGAACTGTACTCGAGCTATTTTGTGAGCTAGTAGTTTGTACTATATTACTGGGCGGTAATACAGTTATAACCGAGCTTAAGCCACTATCTAAAACAGTTGTATTTCTACAAACACGCTTTTTAAAAATCTGAACCACACTTTTAACGATTACATATCAGTAAGCAATAAATGACTATCAGCGAAAACACGTCACCGGTTTCGAGCACCCTGATCAACTCAGCATGGATTTTGAACGATGCTGACTAGATAAGTGAACAATTTAACTAAATTTACATCTCTTCAATTTGTGGTTATAGGCGCTTGTTGTTGATCGTCCGAGTGTCTTTACCATCTCCTTTCTCTATGTTAAGCTGAATTCTTGTCTTCACTATCTGCCTTTTCTACCAGATTGTTAGTTCTCGCCTATAGATCTCTGAGCCCATCTGCAGCTAGACATAAAGTCGTCGGTCTAACACATGCCTGTCTTCTAAATTCTCAGGTCTGTCTGATGACCCAGTCTACCACGGCCAGGACTTTGATAGCTGACAGAAGGCGCTGTTGTGCTACGCCCGTCTTCACGCCAAAGAATCCACCGACCTCCCCGTTGTGAATTACCCCACATGGGGTATCGTCATCAGATAGCTGTCGAATGAAGTTGATAAGTCATTGGGAAAGTCGCTAGTGTTGGGGCGGTTTCTAGCTTACTTTCAGATCAATGCTGACGGAGGTCTTCCCAAAGTTGACGTAGTTCAACTGGAGATCTGACTGCCGTTCTATGATCGCCTCGATGATGAAGCCTGGCTATGCGTTTTGATTTTCACGAGGTTTGCCTCGAATGAACCAGCCTGTCTCGGGAAAAGTTCTGCATCCGGGCCATATTCGAGTCTCTCCAGGATGAATGGGGTCAAATTCCGCTTAGAGTGGAGAAAAGCATCACTCAAAATGCGTTCACGCATTAGCGTCAGCCACCAACTTGACAATCTAAACTTCTTTACGTGGCTCAAACCAACTGTCAGAGACTCCATGGACTGACGCCACATTTCAACTTCAACTCCCCTAATTCTATGTAATCCAAGATCGCGTTATGAGAAGACAAGTTATGCCAGTTTTCTGCATAGGGCACAGAAGGTGCAGTGTTGTAGGTCGTAAGTATGGTGTCAATTACTAGTTTTTTTTCACGTTATGGGTCAACTATTTTCACGACCATTAAAATGATGCACATATATTGTTGAACGAAATTTCGGGTATTCATGTATTCCTTTTATTTCCAGTTACCCCTAGTGCAATTGTGTTCATTTTTCTATTTTTACAGCATACGATAACGAAAATCCCTATACCGTCTAAGTCGATGCAGATATACAACCTCATATACTGACTCCCTTCTCCGCTGCTAACGCTGCTTAGTCTAATTATTACTTGAGGCATTGTACTACTTAACGCGGGATATAGAGCGCAAAAATCTCTGATCGAAGCCAGCTATTTTTTTACGTCACACTCTGAGTAGTTATGGTTCTTACCGAACTGCATAATACAGCTTTGTCGAAACTGTGCGGAAATGGTGAGACTTATTTTCAGACCAGGAGGTATCTTGTGTTTTTATAATAGTTTTGGGCATGTTGAAAATACAAGTGGTCAAAAGTCATCGTGGTAATACAAAGAACCAGTTAGTTAAAATAAATATTGGCAGGTTTATCAGATGCGTTCAGAGGTGTGTTAGATCACACGAAGGGGAAGCTTAGTATTCATAACACCGTTAGGAACGAAGCCAGGGGCTTTTAGAGTTTCTGTATACAGAACGTGCACTAGGAACTGTATGCAGGATTCTTAATAACGGTGGAATTATTAAGTGTTGCGTATTTGTGGTACGCTTACCGATCTCAGCTAGCTGTCTCCGCGATTGCTAAAGCTGGTGAATGATTAATGCTTGTATAAATTCAAGTGCATCGGTGGTCCAGTGAGTGATAGAATGCTCTCTAATGGTGCATGCGGTTTGGTTTCGACTCGCGGCCGACACTGCTAGGAATCGGTTAGCCGGTGTTGAGTCATTGGGTATGAAGTCAGCAACTCCACCCTGTAAAAACAAAACCACCGCTACTGCAACTTCCACTTGGAACGCAAAGAAATGAAAAAGAACGGATCTCAGCACATATATAGGCAAACACGGTGGTATTTTGTGGTCATTAGTGAATTTATATTGTGCTCCCTTGTTACACTACCTCCATGACAAGAATGCTATCAACTGAAAGCTCATAGTGACCTTAGAGTTTGGAAAAGCGAAGAGGGTGATTGACCCACACCTTATTTATGTCTTCGTATTTAGATGCCAGTATTTTCCTGACATCCAACATTCTACGTGTGCTACCATAGTTGTTTCAACAAAGTTATGCTTTCCTTTTGACGTTTGAACTCCTGACTCAGACATTTTGTGCTCATAACGCTGTGGTTTGTTATTCTTGGCTATCTTAGCTTTAAAATAGCTCACAAAAGAGAAGACTAGATATTCGCCATTAGCCCAGTTCGCTGGAAGTTAGTTACCCGGAACAAATTTTCGATGCATCAGGCTCTGATTCATATTTTTGATGTGAATACTTATGATATTATCGAAGTGCGCTTCGAAACCTGTAACCTGATGGTTAAGAGCTAGTCGCTAGCGCCAGTAAGTTATATCTTCAGAAAGTCTGCATATATATAGGATAAGTTATAAATATTCGGCGTACTAAACAAATCTAAATTTGAAGGGTGACAAAACAGCTGAAATCCTTCGAAGCAGATTGTCAAGAGCAGTTCGAAAAAAGTTTCTTGCTAATCCCTTAAGTCCTGTCTTCTTCAAGAAACCTCTTGTTTATCAAAATGTCAAAAACAACGTAAATTGGCAACATCCTTGTAGGTATATCAGCTCATCTGTTTCTGTGGAGTGTTCTGCATAGGCCATGTCAATAGGAAATTGTCCAGACATGCACACGGAAATCTATCATTATATATGTCAAGAAGAGGCAAATTAATAATTAAATTCCATAGTACCCTGTTTTTTCACACTATATCCTCTGTTATTTATGGTTAGGTCGAAATAGTTACAACTGAAGGTCTTGATACACATAAACAAGCCAAGGACTCTGTATGCAAGGGTGGTTTGTCTGATTCCTTTTATTATCGCTGCTTTAGATCACTTTACTTTTTGTACACTAATGTGTATATAATCCACTTTTTCTGGATTTTTGGAACTCCTAAATTCGAAGTTGTTTAAAGATCGATTATTGGACAAAGAATATTCTTTTCGATAACTTCATCATCAACTTCTACAATCATATGTATCTATTATTATGACAGAATGATTGTTATTGACAACATTAATGGTTTTTAAAAATAGTAACATTGAATCATTTAGATTAGGATTCCAAAAAAATATTTGCAATTAGATAGTTAATAGATTATAGTTTAAAATATGTGTATGTGGTAATATGTAAAACTTGTATTACTAAATTGAATACCAATATTTACAAAGTAAATGATTGTGAGTGATCAAGAATGTACAGTAATAAATTCTTATGAGTTCTGTTCATATTAACTACCATTCATATTGATTGTAAACTTCAGATGGATGAGTGATCATGTCAAAGTGGGGGCAGAGAAAAAGGTATTTTTCGGGTTGAAATTTATGTGCGTTGTTTGTATGTCAATGTGTTTAAATTAAAAAACA